TGCCTGGCTTGTCTTTTCCCATGCTCACACTGCCAGCAGGCTGAAATACCTACTTGGTGACATAACTCAGCACCATGAAGAGATTCTGTTTGAAATGTTATTAGATTTTCTCTCCCCTGCTTCTTTTTCCCCTCACTTTTACTTAATTTTTTTGCAATTTGTGATCAATATGGCATTTAACAGCTGAGATTTGTCTGACATCCCCAAGAACTTCTGTACATAGAGAGAGAGGTTTTAAATGTTGTCACTGAAATATCCTACTTGCACTTTTTCTTCTTTTCACCCTCAGATTATTTACATAATTAACTTTGCAGAGCTAAACTCTGACAAACGTGAATTCCAGGTTCACTGGCATTTTGGTAATGTTCATTATTTGCAAATAACTATTATTTTAGGGAAATTTGGGTTCTCATTCTATTGGATCAGAGAGACTTTTTATAACTTTAATAAATGAGCAATTCCTTTTTAAGTATAGCCACAAACTGATACAGACACCAACTGTTAAAGCAGGCAAGATTAGAAAAGTGACATAACTTAGCACCATGAAAATATTATATTTGAAACATTATTAGATTTTCTCTCCCCTGCTTCTTTTTCCCCTCACTTTTACTTAATTTTTTACAATTTGTGATCAATATGGCATTTAACAGCTGAGATTTGTCTGATATCTCCAAGAACTTCTGTACACAGAGAGAGAGGTTTCAAATGCTGTCACTGAAATATCCTACTTGCACTTTTTCTTCTTTTCACCCTGAGATTATTTACATAATTAACTATGCAGAGCTAAACTCTGACAAACATGAATTCAGGTTCACTGGCATTTTGGCAATGTTCATTATTTGCAAATAATTATTATTTTAGAGAAATTGAGGTTCTCATTCTATTGGATCATTTTATAACTTTTATAAATGAGCAATTCCTTTTTAAGCATAGCCACAAACTGATACAAATAGCAACTGTTAAAGCAGGCAAGATTAGAAAAGTGACATAACTTAGCACTATGAAAATATTATATTTGAAACATTATTAGATTTTCTCTCCCCTGCTTCTTTTTCCTCCACATTTACTTAATTTTTCACAACTTGCAATTTGTGATCAATATGGCATTTAACAGCTGAGATTTGTCTGAGATCTCCAAGAACTTCTGTACATAGAGAGAGAGGTTTCAAATGTTGTCACTGAAATATCCTACTTGCACTTTTTCCTGAGATTATTTACATATTTAACTATATAGAACTAAACTCTGACAAATATGAATGTGAAAATGCCAGTGAACCTGNAAATGTTCATTATTTGCAAATAACTATTATTTTAGAGAAATTTGGGGTCTCATTCTTATGGATCAGAGAGACTTTTTATAACTTTTATAAATGAGCAATTCCTTTTAAAGTGCAGCCACAAACTGATACAGACACCAAGATTAGAAAAGTGTGTAACAATCCAAATGTGAAATACCAGAGAAGGAATAGATGAGACTTCACTGGAACAATAATTTTAATACTTAACAGACTCCTGTGTGCCTGTTAAGCTGACAACAATTACATGTGACCTCCTGTTTATGAAACACTGATTATGCAGGAGGCCAAATTAATGATGTTAATTATTTAAGCCAGAAACTCAAGAGATAAGACATCTTAGTTTTTGAAATGTTTATGATTCTTCCACAGTGACATGGATGTAATATTGAGAGACTTTTAGAGGGACTGGTTTTTTGCTTTGTTTTAGAAATAGAATTGTAATATATTACATTTATTAAGATAATAAATGCTTATTACAACATACATTTTTCAATATTAATTTGCACTGGGCACACACAACTGATTTTGACATTTTGAGAATTTCTAGTAATAAAGAAATGTACAATATGGAGTTTAAGGTGCATGAAACATTCAGTTTGGGAAGGAAATTTTCTCCATCTGTACAATGTATTGATTGGGTTTTCTCTGATTCAGCCAGAGAAACATGTTTTACTTTATTCAGAATTTTTATGCACCCAAACCTGTGTGCCTAAATTGCTGCACAGTGGACAGCAATCCATATTTATTGGCTGCTGTGTCCATCCCATGCTTGAAATGGGAATTCAAGTCATGCTTGAGGGGCTGTCCCAGTGTATCTGAAAGCACTGACAAAACAAATAAAAACCCCTGAAAGGAAACTGCTCAGGTCTTGGAAGCACCATTGTAAACATTTAACTGGTTCTTGGAATCACAACATCCTTGACACTTTCATTTGAATTTATAAAATAAATCACTTGGTAGAAAATTTTAGTTCTGGAGTCTGAAATCCCCATGGCTCTCAGTTCACTTGTAGCTATTGAAACAAGGTGCAAATTCTACTTCATTTTCCTGATACTTCTGTCACTCTGAGATTAATTATTTTCAAACTGCAGCATAAACTAAGGTAAATATTCTTTCCTTCTCTGCATGTAGGAGATATTTTAGTGGGAATTTTCAGTGTGTTTAAAGAGTTTTTCATCTTTTGAATTTTCTATGCAATTTGTGCTGGAGCTCTGCAGTTTTATAGGAAATTTCTGAAATAATCCACTGCTGAAAATATGTGTGCCACTTGACTTCAGAATCACAGGTTTCAAAGCCTGGATTAGTTCAAGTGCAACATGTGCTCCTACTATTAATCCAACCCTTAAGTGCTGGCTGTTATTTTTATACTCAGGTTTGTTAGCAGATAGATAAAATCTTCCACGTCATCCAAGAAGTCTTATCTAAGCAGTTATTTTCCCTTTTTAAGGAGTGGGACAGATTTGAGATGGAAATGACAGGAAAGATTTTATGAGCTATGAAAATGCAGCTTTTGGTTATTATCCCTATGGGGAGCTTCTCTTGACACAATTTCTGCAACAACTTCCAAAGGTTCCCACTTCTTCCTCAGATTTCCTTGTCTTACAAACCCAGTTTGGGAAAATGTGCTGAGAGAGGGGAGAGCTGAGCACTGGCAGTCAGAGGAGCTGAGAGCAGCCCTGTGTGCCATGCTGGGCACCTCACTGGGCTCCAACAGAACCACGATGTCTCTTTGACCAAACAGACCCAGTTTAGTTTGGTTTTCTCTGCCAACTCTTCCCTTATAAGGGATTCCCTTCATAAATCACTCAGTTCAGCACAGCAAAAGCTTGCTAAATATTTACAGCAAGTGCCACACAGCATCTTGGTAAGAACTGCAGGCAGAAAGTTTGGGGGAAGAGATTTAAGGCTGCTCTTCCTCTCCTGTGGCTTGCAGTAGTGAGGTCTGTTGAAGCCAGGCCTTGTTTTCAGTTGTTTCACATAGAGGTTTCATTAAAATTTATTAACACAGAGCAATGATGAAGAAACAGCAAGAACAGGACTATCTTTCTTCACCAGTGCTGCCTGGAAATAAACAGGAACCAAAAAGCAACGAGTAAGCAGATTGGGTCTTTCATCACCTCCATCCTCCTGAAGCATCTGCCCCTCCAGGCACTGATTGTACTTTGATCAACACACAGAACTCGATGTAGGAACAGCTAAACATGGTGGGATTAGGGCTGGGAGGGTCATTGTGCACCCACTTGGTGCAGAACACTTGGCACACCAGGTTGGCACATACCGATCGTCATCGTCCGCGTGGGCGTTGGTGCCAGAGCTGCTCTGCAGCGTGGGCAGTCCCTCTGTAACCCCCTCATCTATGGAGCCTAGGCAAAGAAAAAAGGGCAATTGAATGCAAATAACTGCTCAAAAAGGGTTGGGGGGCAGGTAAATACACATCAAGGTTGCTTTGTCAAATCTCTGATAGACACTGATAAGGTAATAAAAGTGCCTTGGGAAAGTCATTTACAACACCCAGAAGCAGCTTGTTCCAAATCAGCTTCTCTCTGCACAGATTACCCAGTAAATTGACAATTCAATAAGGGCACATATTTGGTACACCTAGAAAATGGAAATGTTAAATACAGCCAGTTTTCAAAACACATCCAGTACTAGCACTGAAAAGCAGAAATGTTACATTCACATAAAGGGACGATTTTGTCAATTTTTCAACACTTCTTGAGCAATAAAGAGTTCAAACCTGCCACACTAAATGGCTTTTGTGGTCCAAATCATCCATAAATATATTAACTGATAATGTCTTCATTTATTGATAAGCAGCTGAGATAGGAAGAGCCCTCTGGGAAATCAGAAATGCAACACAAAAGAGACTAAACAGCTGTTTGTTAGATACACAAACAAAACCACTCCAGAGCTCTGGGGCAAATGTGGCTCAAGGGGCCTGGGGAACAGAATCCAAGGAAATTCAGCACTAAAACAAACCCACACCTTCATTCTGTGATGCCTTGTCTGTCATCAGCTCCAGTTTGGTCAATCAGCCCCTGCATGTCCCCACTCAACCCATGGGACACGAGAGGGGGAAGGAGATTTCTCTCCTCCATCTCCATCTCAAGGACAAGCAAATGCAGACAGTGTCATGAGCTCCTCTGGCTGCTGGGCTGAAATAATTCTGAGAGAGGGCTACAGGAGCAACCTGAATTTGGGGATCCTAAAGGGCACCAGGAAAATCAAGTAGAATTAGGTGTACACTGGAGAGTGTCAGAGAAATGCAGCAAATCCACACCTTCAATCAACAGAATTAGGTGTACACTGGCAAGTGTCAGAGAAAATGGAAAACCAAAGAGAAGGAACAAAGATGGGGAAGGTGAAGCAGAAAATGTGCAATTCTGTCAAAAAGAATGAGAAATCTTTCCCAAAGTGAGAGATTCTTGTCTTAATGTGATGCCATGTTATGGGGCCAGTGACAAGAGGAAAATTGAATCTCTGGCAGCTTCTCAATTAGTAAAATAAATTTTTTTGATTTTGTTAAGAAGTGACAAACTATACTTGGGATATTCACCAGCTAAGCAATCTATGAAGTACAAAAGTTAATCCCATTTTGATTTATCCTTCTTTCTCATGAAATACCTTAGTGACAGTCCACTAAAAATAAGCCCAACTGCTCTTAGGTTGAATTTCATGCCTTCACCTCTCAAATGCCAAAAGTGCTAATGAGTTATGAGAGTGTCTTCTCAGACACAGCTGTTTTGCAACCATAATGATTTATTTACCAAGTCCCTGCTCCACGTCTCCTTCCAAATAAAATAAATTGCAAATGAACAATTCTTAAATTTCCCAAAGAGTGAATAAGAGCTTTTTGCAATATCAGAGAGAGGCAAGAATGCTTTTCTAAATGCACTATAAAACACTGAGATAAATATATGCAATTATATGAGGAAAATATGTTCAGGGGAGAAAAAGCTGCACTTTAACATATCTTGCTGCCTCCATTTACTATTCTTACATTAATGCATTTTTGGGAGGTAAAAAGTGCTTTCTAGCTACAAAGTGTGCTGTACCATAACTGGGCTAAAAAGCAAGAACACTGTTTCCCTTTATAACAAAACATGAATAAAAACCATTCTGAGGATGGTTATTATGCCAAAACCACTAAATATTAATTCAAACACATTCAAAGACAAAGAGCAGATTTGTACTTTAAAGGTTTTGCCCTGGCACATTTTTCTTCTCTCTGCAGCTGTTTTAAGGCAGGACATGCTGTACTAACAGCAATGACAGATATTTAAGTTTAAAAATTATAATCACTAAAGCCTGAGATTTTCTACCCCATGCACACAAAACTGCTCCTCTGGGGCCTGGAGTTTCCACCCAGTTTGTTCTTTAAGCTTGGGGTGATATTCATTTATATATTTATGATATCTATCACTTGAGATGCTATTTTTAACATTCCCTCATCATTACTGATTCTTGTTCTATTTGTCTGTGATGATATAATTACTTTGATGAAATAATTTGCATCTCTTATCACATGGCCCTGGCAAAGCCTTTCAGTTCTGACTGCAATGAGTTAAAACTGAATCAAACAAAACTTGGTTTTGAACAAGGACCTCTATTCCTGGTGACTCCCCAGCAAACAAATAGTTTCTTTTAGTTTTTAATTTGTGCAATATTTTGGCAAACTACATTTAAAGATTGAGAGTTAAACTAGAAGACATGAAGTCTGTTCCTCAGCAAAGGCAAACATCCTTGTCTCCAATAAAGAAAACATTTTCATTTGGAGAAAGCATTACCATCTAAAATATCAACAAGTGGAGAACAATCCAACAGCACAGGATGGCAGAGATGGGAAATATTTTCATTTCTTTTTATGAATAGTTTGGCATTGAGTGTGTGTTGCAGTTCTGCAGGGTCAGCCTGAGCTCACTTTCTCCAGGGATTTCACAGCGTTGCACTGACCAAAGCAAACAAATCATGCAGATTACAAGGCTCCAAATCTTTACTGTGCTGTAATTTATTTAATTCCTTAATGGGGGCAGCCTTTCACATACACATTATTGGAATGAAGCAGAGCAGTGCATTTGCCATTCTTACAGCCTTCAAACAGAACAGGAGTTATTAAAAATCTTTCAGTAAACAAACTGTGCTGAGCACAGCTCAAGCCACTTGAGAGTAAAAGAGCTGACTTGGGCAAAATTTTGATAATTCAATTAGAAATATTGCAAAAGCTCTATCTTCTGATTTACTAAAAGCCATTCAATGCATTCTGTGCAGAGGAAAAAAGGGATTGTTCCAGTAACCTTTAAGTATTAGCTCTTAATAAAGAACAGCCTGCTGTAAGATCCCAAAACTGGCTTCAAATTGTCTTTCATGGAAAAAAGATTTCTCTCAGCAACCAAGCAGCATTTGAAGAAGCAACTTGAGAATCAAATCCCACAGAAATGGAAAGCTTCTCAATATTATGACTGTGTGGTTTTATTTTTGTCTGGGGCATTAAGATGACAGTGTTTCAGCACTTATTTTGCAAATCCTCTTACAAAGGCTCTCTGTCACGATTATATGAGATTTGATGGCTGATGCAAAGCACTGTTCTAACCCTTTGTGGCTGCAGGCAGAAGCTTTGCAAATCTGATGCTGCAGCTCAGCTGAGATTGTGCCTTTTGGCACTCAGGAAAGCAGAATTAAGTTTCCCCAGTCAGGCAACTAAAGGTAAAAAGGAGTTATCAACCTCTGCTGAATAAAGAGGGCTACCACAGGCTCACCATTCTCAGCTGCCTTCTGAAAAGTTACTTAAAGAACTCCAAGTTTATGTGCAATATTTCAAAAATCAAGGGG